CATTAGTAGGGCATTTTTGGGGCATTAGGTCTTGCTGAGGCATTTCAAAGATAAAATAAGATAAAGTAAAGCCCACTGGGCATTAGTGGGCATTAGTGTAAAAGATTTTGGTCAGTGATTTCCCTCTCGTGTCACACTTTGACATTTTTGAACTTTTACATGTTATCACAAATTGATTAGATAAATGTTTTAAACTGCCCCAAATGTTAGGTAAGCTTTGATATTCCCACACAATGATTTTAAAAAAGTGATTGTTGAAAGATTAATAATTATCGACAGAACTGAATAAAAAGAAGATCTATAATACCAGATCTAAGATATAACCGTTTTAAAGAATAACTTTTATAACGAGAATTATCAAAAAGGAATGATCTTAAAGTACAATTTCATACATAAAAAGCATGATTGTGCAAAAATACCAGCTAAATTTCTAGCCCCTATTTCTAACGAACAAAAATAGCTTACATGTAACATAGATATAGGTAATTATTACCTACTTTACAACATAATTAAAAATTGCACATACGCTTGTACTCTAATCATTTATCATTATTTTCGTTGCAAAAATAATGTTTTAAAAATAATTAAGCTTTTAATCGACCATAACTGGCAATGTGTTTTTAACACAAAAAATTTATTCCGAAAAATATTACCTCAGTCAGGGTTTGGACCTGGACCCTCCCTACACTCTAGACGGGCGTGTCACCAATTCTACACCATCGAGGCATATAATAATAATTTTTTTAAGTAGCTATTTTTATTTATTATACAGAAATTGTTCACTCTACTCACTTTTTTTCGAGATAAATGAAAGATAAAAGAAAATATATAGACGAATCCCGAAAAGAGAAAATTTCTCGCTCTTTCAGAACGAATTTCTGATCGACGAAATTCGCAAGTCAAACCATTTGTACGTTGCTAAGAAACAATCGCCAGCATTTGGAGAAGAATTGTTCAGAAATGGCCAAGCACAGTATGCCTAATTATTAATCACTCACCCGTTAATTTATTCGCTACTGTTTTGATACCATAGATATAATATATCTAGACCGAGCGTTTGCCTTTGTTTGAGCAGTGGAGGTAGAGGTTCACGTAGAAGAGGACAAACTCTGTTTTGCGCTATTTCGTTCTCTCTTGTTTACATGCGAAAGAGAACGAAATAGCGCAAAACAGAGTTTGTCCTTTTCTACGTGACCCTCTACCCCCACTGTGCTCAATGGTTTGCAATAAGAACATACCACGTAATGGTACGTTTAGTCCAGATATATTATATCTATGTTTGATACGAAATGTTTTTTGACGAAGTTACTAAAATCACTTGAGAGCGATAAAGCAGAACATGTTCCAGTTCGTCGTAGATCACTAAACGCCGTGACTTCAAAATTTTAAACGCTGGCGAATAAAAACTAGAACAAGTTTTCGCCAGCGACTCTACTGGTCCTGGTATAGGTACAGGTAGGTTGTAGCATAAAGAGGAGATAGGTGGGGGGGAATGGGTCTCGTTTTGCACACAAGTGACATATCGTGTATGTGATGATATGTGTGATGATTGTGTATAACACTAGAATCACCCCCTCCATGCTACCGCATACTACCGGGACCGGTTTCTAGCAACACTACGCGACGGTACCGACAGAACGTGGAATATGGTTCCCCGTCACTCTGGACGCGAAATATCTTCGACTTCAGCTACACCAATATGTGCTATGTGTGGGGTAGTGGTATCCCGCGTGGTAAGGGTTTCTACCTACTAACCTCCCACGTTATGGCAGGGACGAATCGAGACGCTCGATCCCAATGAATAAGCAACCTATTGGTCGAAACCTACAATAGGTGTAACAAATCTGAAGCCGTAAGAAATTGATCAATCGTAAGGTCCGTTCGTGTTTCTCAAAATTTTCACAAATTCCCGTGAGATAAATACACAATGGGCATTGGAGAGAGAGAAAGAGAGAGAGAAAACGAGGATTCTAAGTGCAACAAGTGCGACGCGAACAGACCTTAATCGAATATGATGAGAGTAATTGACTGTGATTGATCAATTTCTTAATGATTTGCCCATACAACACCGAAGCTTTCAGAAACATTGTAACATTGCAACAATGTTTTCTGAAATGTTTCTGAAAACTTTGGTACTGTATGGGTAAGGCTTACCCCGCCTATTGTAGATACGGCTTAAAAATCACTCCGTGTAGAAACATACGAAAAAAAACTTGAGCTGTGAAACTTAAAACGTAAGATTTTGAAAGAACTTGAACCAATTGAAATTTTCAGCGTTGTTTGCGTTTTAAAATAGCTGCTTACGTTCATGACTTGGTTAATTCGCTTACGTTTGACTGCTTAGATTTTTTTTCTGTGTAATGACTTTAAGAACTCTGACGACGTGATAACGCGATGCGCGATCAGCGATCCGACATCAGCATACAGTTCTTTCACAAAACATTCGGAAAAACTGGCGCTTATTGAATCGCTCGTCACACGTCGTATATGCGTGGTCGTGTTGATTAACCAAAACCGTATGTAACCTTCTTCAAAGTTGCGTTCGAAAATACCACCCGAGCGTATTATTTTATCTAACATTCCGTGAGGAACAAGGATAAAATAGAAAAGGTCTTCGAAGTTCACAATGTGAGCGGCGGGAGATTGTAGGCGGTGCAAAAGGTATATTTCACCTAAGATGAAGGTCCCCTTTTCAAAATTTAGTTTCCTTATTTGTGCTGTGAAATAACCACGCGAGATCCACCAGGTGCTAGGCAAGATTTAGAAGAGATTTTCTTTGTAAAAATCACCAATTGGCAGGTAAAGTAGTAGCGCGCGTTTAAGATATTTGTTAACTTTGTCTTTGTGGCTCTGCAATTATACATTTAACTGCAGTTATGTCCGACAATCCCGTAAAATCTATTAAATAAATATTAAGCATCGTGGCTTTCGACGATTTTATTTTAAATTTCAATCGAGCGCATTGCGCGTCATGTTTATTTGTCACGAATATCTTTTTATTTTATATTTTTTTCTGGGCGACAAAATGGACCAGCGCGATAAAAGCGAAGAGAAAGCTAGGCGCACGCAATACCCAGTGCCTTTGAGTAAAATTAAACGTTTAGTTTTATGACGTTCGTTACGTTTATGTGTTCTCCGGTGACCAACTGTATATTTAAAATTGCTAATCTTTTTATCAGTTGAACGTTAACGGGACTTCAATTTAACGATTTTAATTACTAACTTAATTACTATTCATACGCATTCGTTCTAATCTTCTCAATTTCTATTATTATCCCGCCTCAATCGTTTGATACTTTTGCGACTAAGGTTATCATAAAATATCTCATAAAATAAAAATCATCTCTGTTCCAAACATTACGTAATGCAGTAATCGCATCGTGGAAAATATCGTTACATTTTCTCAATAACGACCGATTTGCAATCTCCTAAGTATCACACAATATACGTGTCGCAATCGAAACTGTTATGGCGTGAGAGACGCGCGTTCCACGTGGCGTTTCCGAACGAAAGTTAGGTTACGGAGAAGCAATTTTGACACGTCAAAAATCCATGCGGCTTACCATGCGTATCAGCCGAAATCTCGCAGAAAAGAACTCGTGGCAAATCAGGCCTTATTCCTGAAAAATATCGTATACGATACACGAAAGCTTACGTTGTACGATGTCTTGACAAGTCGAATACCGCGAGTGCGCGACACGTGTCCATCTCTTTTGTGACAGGAATAGTCGAATCCGAGTATTCGAAAGACTACGATTACTTTTCTGTTGGTCAAATATATTATAAAGTATATGTGTATGCGTATATGAATTAGTTTTCATATATAAGTCTTTTTGATCGGACCTTCTCTATTAAAAACAATAGAAGGTAGGCGAGGCGTTTAATATTCTAAATAAGATGTTTAATATTCTAAATTGACACACACGGCGAGAATTTTTTTCTTAAAACTTATCCTGTAAATCAAGCAATTGTGGGACAACACGGCGTTTTGCAGGACCTCATGAGAGGTTTCTTGAAATTTTACCATACATTTCGCTAGTAATTTTAACAGAGCCCCATGTGTACACTGAAATTAGAGATTTTCAGGACTCTAGCTAAAACAATACTGACAAAGAGTGTTGTGACTACATGTCGGTTTTACATAACCAACGTGGTCAACGTTACATTGGATTGAACATGTCAGTGTCTACGCGATATGCTTAATATTCAACACGTGAATATAAGCCAATATTTCACGAATGTGCGCCAATATTACAAGGAACGGAGGACGTTAGCCCGCTTGCTAAATCCTTAACGTCATTACAATGATATCGCGCAACGAGGAATATAGTCGAGCGTTTCGTGTCGTGTCGTCCTCGTCGTCGTCGTTGCATAGACATTTCTGCGAGAGCGGAGTGACGGTCGGGCGGAGACGGTGCGCTTGGTACAGGGAGAGGGTGAGGTAGTCGAGGGTGAGCCGCGGACGACGAGACAAGCCGCGGAGAAAGGCGAGCTGAGCGCCGACAGGGGAGATGGGGGCGCAAGAGCGGGGAAGAGAGAGAGAGAGAGGCAGGCCGAGAGGGTGAACAGGGGTGAATCACGGAGGGGTGCCGCGAGTCGAAAGGACAGAGGAGTGGGTGCAGGGGGGGTGTCTCTTTTGAGCCGCCTGAACTTTGCCAAGTTCGAAACCGTCCGAGGCCGATGGCGACTCCAACCCCCTCGCGTCGCACTCTCCTTCATCGCGGCACGACTCTCACCCCTTCCCCGCCCCCCCTCTCTCCCCTCCCTCTCGCTCCATCCTTCCTTTCTCGTTTGCCCATCTCTCTTCCTTCTCACCCGTCGACCCCGCCGATGTACTCCGGCGTACCCTCGCGTCCGCCGCCGTCGCGGTATTATGGAAATTTTGAACCAATTCGAAAATCAATAGCCACCGCCGCGGGGAAGAGCGCCGAGACGGCCTGCGTCGCAGCGGGAGCGCCGCACCTTGGCTTTTTCAGCGTCTGAGAAAATGCGATGTCTTGCGGCTTCTTTTTGCTCGCTCGGCGAGGGCGCAGGGCATCGATTCTCGCGCCCTCTCGACCGGTAAATCGCGATTTTCTAACCCTATTCTCCTATACATGACAGATACGATTATGAAAGAACGGTGATACCCAATGAGCATTTTCGCTTTGCGTTTCAAGTGTCAGTAAATTATTACGAATGATATAATTTGCAGTCGACAATTTGAATTGTTATCATCCCCATTTTTTTTAACAAAACAGCGTTAAAATTTACCCGAGACTGTAGTCTTGTATGAGATATAAATAATTTAGTATAAATCCAAATAAAGTGGCTACACACGTTCTATTGGATTGTCCTATAAGTTTCTTCCGTTTTGTTTCTCTAAAATTGTTTACTACAAAATTTCCAAAACGGTAAAGTTTTATTGCAATGTGTCCAACTCTGTAAAAAAATCTTTTAACCCTTTGAGAGCCTCGCCTTATTTCCATTTCCATTCTTAATTTGCCAGCAAATTACCCATCGAGGTGATTTTTATATCATTCATTTTTCTTACGAACTTTTGTCTGACGGAAAAAAATTTTTAGGTGCATGGTCCAAAGACGGAGGATGAAGCAGAAAATCTCAATGAAACGCAAAGAGTTTACTCCTAACGGCCAAGGATGCATGTAGTCTGGCGTTGTCATGATGGAAAATGACATCTCGTCTGTTTTGTCAATTTTGGACGCTTCCTGGCGATGTTTCCTATACTCTCCGTTCGATTACTATTTGTTCCTTTCACAAAAAAAAATTTCCTTCGTCAAAATGAATAATATCAAAAATCACCTCGAAGGAAGAAGAAAGGCATTGCGAGGCTTCCGTAGAGATGGGAGAAGGTTATTGAACGGAGTAGGGCATGTATATTGCAATAAAACTTTGCCGTTTTGGAAATTGTGTAAGACAAAGGTTTAAAGAAAAAATGAAAAAGCTTATAGCACAACCTAATGTTTAATTACGATTTGCAGTGATGGACATTCGAAGGATTTGCCCGACGTTTTCGGATCGACTTTGTTCTTCTGCAAATTTTACCTGGAGAAAACGCAGCGAGATTGTTACGCTACGCCCGCGATCTTTCAACGAGTCCGTGCATGTCGCGGTCGAGTAATTTTCGAAAAAAAAAATATGTTAGTTTTTGTTAGCGATTAAAATCGCGATGGCGGCTTTTTCAACGCGACGACATCGAAATTCCGTTGTCTCGGCGCTCGGGAATCGCTTTGGTTCTCATGAGTCTCGGCCGCGCGAAGGATAAAAGGTAGGGAGCATCAGGAGAAAGAGACAGAGAGCGGGGAAAAGGGGACGCCCCCGGATGGCGGGGAGAGCTTTTTTCGTTTTACAAACTGGTTCAATTTTTTCTCAAAAAGCGGGTGAACACCACGGGAACCGGTTGTATCTACGCCGAGAGCCAAAACGATGGAGCGGAGAGAAGGAACGAGCGATAGGACGGGGGGGGGGAAGGGAGGGGCAAGGGGGGAGGGATGGTAGACTTCTCATCTTCTCATCGTAGCGCTCCAGGCCTGTACCGAGTATTCCGTTTCGAATCCGATTAACCCTCTCGCAATAACGAATACTTTCTTTTAGAAGAACGACAATTTTCCCCCGTTAAAAATAGATTGTTAAAAGTTTTAATTTTATTATGTTTTTAATTACGTCGTATTTGACGTTATAACACGAGAGTTATGAACAGCCATAAAGCTGTCGTATTTTTTTTTAATTCAGTTTTTAATTCATTTTTTATTCAGTTGGGCATAATTAAAATTTTTTTGTGATATTCAAACATTTGAAATTGAAATAATGTAATTAAATTTTTTATTATTATGGAATATAAAATATAATTTATAAACGCATAATTTTTTACGTACAATTAAGTGCGACTTAATAAAAATATGAATAGAGTGCCGAATGGAATTTTGCAAAGCGCATAATCATGGTAATCGATGTATTATTACTGTCAACCTCGGAACGACGTTAAATGATAAAGTATTGTACTCCGGCGACGAGGCGTTGCGTTTTAGCGTAACATCAGGACCACGAATTTCCACCAACGACGAGAGAGTCTCATTAGCCGTGCGGAAAAGCGGAAACGTTCGAGGAGTGTTTGCGGAGAGCGACGTGTGCCGCCGTTTAACGTAAACGTCGTAGGTAACTTTATGGAAATCTCCCACGGGGGAATTTTCCGCCTTAAATTGCGATAAATTATTGTCGCGCGGCTGTCTGTCTCTCGCTCGTTAATAGTATTCCGCGATTCGGCCCGATTCGGTCGCCGGTTTCGTCGGGTTTAATAATAATGAAAATGTCGCGCTTCGGCAATGAGGCAGGTATTGCATCGCGATGCGCTTATTCGCGTGCCGATCGTTTCCCTTCTTCGCGATAACGCGATAGCGCAAACGGGCAAGGAGTCTGTAAAGAAAGGAACAATAGCGCTTTGGGAAACTAGATTTAAAAATTGGAAACCTTGCGCTCGTAGACAATATCCACGGGAGTGTAATTTGAAAAGTAGTTGTTCGAATGGATTTTCGAATACGGTCGAAAAAGTGGGACGCGAGACGTGGAGTTTTGCATTGTATCTCATATTTCCAGTATCCCTGTCTTTTGAGCGAACGCATTCTATTTTCGCATGCTCGGCGATATCGCGATTGTTATGATAACAACGGCGGAACTCTAAGGCGATTTGAAAAAGGCTTTTGTGCATGACACACTTTTCCCTTTCGCGAAACCTACTTAGGGGAAGCCAGCGCGAAGTGGGTTTCCATTAGCAGCTGCGTATTATTATTTAGCAGGCGCACTCCAAAGAATCCAGAAAAGTATCTTTCCAGTGACGTGCACCGCGCACCCTTGGCCCCCGGCGCGAGACGAGGTCGATCTAGATTTCGTCGACTCGCGAGTGCGAATATGACGTGCGATCGATCCAGGAATCCGTCACTAAAATTAAGATCGGCATTTTAAAGTGGGACATCCAGCGGGTTAAATTTAATTGTCACAAATCGCGACGCGACTCGCCACCGGCGGGGAGACGGGACCGAAAATGCATTCTAAATGGTGAAAATGTATTCGTCACGTTTAGATTAGCGCGCTCAGCGCGCTGTAATTATCGTGCCCGTTATCGGTGTAAGCACCATTGACATTGACGGCGGTAAGCCGTTATCGGGGATCGCTAAATGCGGACGTGTTACGGTCGTGTTATTCCAAAATCGCTGTAATATTCCGGCGACTAAAATTACTCGGGCTTATACGAATTTAGGAATCTAGGACGAGCGAAGGGGATTGGCGGGTCTCGGCCTTCGCTCTTTGCCGCGGCTTCTCCCGGATTCGAGAGGATCGATTATTAATCGTTCCGCAGAAAGATTCCGTCACAACACTGAAAAATTAATGCCGACGATCGCGCGATTTTCGCGAATCTCACTCGCGCCGTTACTGCGCGCGATCGATCGTCACTTGCCTCGGAACCGGCAAGGTCGAGTCGAGAAAAACAATTTGGTAGGTGCTTTATGTTTCATGAGGGTTCCGCTTGGTCATCGGCCAGGGAAAGTAGTTTTCAACTCGCGAGAATTTAGCCATTCGGAATTGAAATCGATTCGATCTGTCGAGATACAACGGCTCTGTCGTGAAAAATTAACTTGACAGTTTTATTCGCCCAGAAAAAGGCTGGAGCAGTTGTTTAGGGAAGACAGTTTTGCGTAAGAAAAGATCTTGGGAGTTAGAATATACGATTAAACGGGGAAACGCTGGGTGTTGCATTCTTTTCAGCGCCAGCTTAACGTTTATAAACGTCCAATATATTTAACGCACTTAATCGCATTTAGAAACTATCCTGTGACCCATTTTTTTTTAATGTTTCGTTCAACATTTAAATGAACTCTGGTAAGTTCAGGATTAAGAACACTTTTAATAATTGATTTATTCCTATTTAATTCGCCTCTTTCCAGAAATTGGGTTAGAGTGCGGAGTCATGCAATTTTTGGATAATCGACTTTAAAGCTCGGAACGTTTCTCTGCAAAATTTAGCACTTACATTCTTGAAAGCTTGTTTGACCCGCGAAAATACAGTTTATGGCGCAGATTAGTAAGTCTGTTTTTTTTTTCATTATAATCCACTTCGTACATTTTTCCTACTTTTTACCCTTTCACTCTTTTAATAGCACCTTTGTTCCCGAACGTGTCACAATTTGGACAGTTTGGTTTGCTTCGAAAAACAAAAATGCAGAGTGTTTTCAGCAAATTGTAATTTCTGATTTATCATTTGCTATTTAACGTTTCGCAGCGTCTTTAAGGGCATACCGGTGTCATTATCCATTAATAACGAACGTTTGATGTCATTGAAAAATGCGCCTCGTAAAATGGAGCTCCCGGTAACTAAGAGACGAACGGAAAAATAGATTTCAATAATCCAGACAGTCGCATCATTATTAATGGCGCTTCAAGATTAATGTGACTTTGATAAGACAATTGTAACGTATCGATTCCTACCGATTGTATTCCACGAATACAGTTCAAGCCTTGTTTTGTCGAGTCGCTCTCTTTTATTCCTTCGCAAATGTAACGACGGACTTGTTTCAAAGTTTTATCTGATAAATTTACAAATTAGAATTCTAGTTAAAACAGAAACCATTCGTAATTAAACGAACAAATTGTGTTGCCGCTTTTTTCAAAATTTAACACAAAAGCTTCATAAATCTCTTACGATTCAGCAAGATTGGTGGGAGCGACGTTATTTTTTTTCGTTTAAGACAAAGATTGTGGCAATGAAGAGAATTCACGTTAGACGCATTAAAGCGAATAAGTGACTAGGCTAAAAGTGTAAATCAATTAAGAAACGCCAATATCGGTGAACTGGTTCGTCGTAGACTAATAATATTGTGAATTTTTGTATATCAAAGTTTTCCAATTATAGAAGCATTTCCTACTTTATCCGCGCAATTCACAGCTGCTTGCTACGACGTCCGGTAAAAATTTTGAAACTGTCATAATCGATTAACTATTAGAGCTAACTTATGCACAAAACTTTCCAAAAATTATATCTATATATAGTTTTTTAGACCCACGTATGCACAGAATGTCCTATTGTGAGATAGGTTTTCAACATCCAAATTCAATCACAAATCTTTTCTCGCAACGATTACACGATCTAACGATCAATTTTCCACCGAACGAATTTCGCTCCAAGGGCAATAAATTCATGACGGAACCAACAGACGATGCCTATTAATTTAACATACACCCCGCTATCCCATATTAGGATCCTATCTCATAATAGGGGACATAATAGCTACTTGCTAATAATGGACAAACTTTTCCGAAAGTAAATAATCGCAAATACGCAAAGTAATCTCGGCGGTCCAAGTCGCAGCGGCGCGAGTCCGCGTTCTCGCTTTATTCTGAAATATCCCAGAGACTCGTCGACATGAAAGAGCTAAAACGAGAGCGCTCGTGGTCTCTCGCGCGCTTTATCGCCCCGCTCGGCGTCTCTCGATCAACCCACGTACGTCATCGTAAACAGAAACATATCGTGCAACTCGCGAGACTCGGTGGCGATGACCCAGAACGGAACGAATCCCGCTACGAGGCGACGACGTTCTGGATTGTTCGCGCGCACGCGAGAGAGAGAGAGAGAGAGAGTTTCTCCTTATCCGGAATTCTCACTTTGAAATGCCGAGCAGTTCGCGATGCATTGTCCGCTATCGGGGTGCCAGTTTCGCGAACAGTTCGCCGCGACGCGACGCGGGCTCGCGCGAATCCATCCAGCGTGCAATCAGCACTCGGGATCTGTGTCGCGTTGATGGGATGGGAGCGCGCGCGTAATGTCTACGTGCATCGCGTTAACAGGATGCGGCCACGATGTCGGCTCCCCGAGGTGTCGGCGAATCTCCGACGCGGCGCGTAGCGCGACGTCCCACGTCCCACGGTATAACCTACGGCTCCTCATTTCTTTTCATCTTTTTTTTTCCTCGCCCTCGGAGCAAATTTTCTTTATCGCGCGTTCCGTTCTGGAAAGCGAGCGTTAAAGCTCTGAGAACGGCGACGCGTGGTTTCTTATCAGCGCCTCGCGTCTACCGCCGACGAATTTACGTTCAGTGAACCTGGGGTTCACTCGGCTTCGCTCCCTCGCCGCGCAATGTCGCGCTCGTGGCTTC